CTTCCAGCTCAGCGACACTGCACAAAGTTGGGGTGGCCAGGCCCGGTGACAGCAGCGCCAGGCCTGGTTCGGCAGCTAGGGACAGTCTGCAGCCGGCCGCCCGTGAACTTGACCCTGCTCCGCAGGCGCGCAAAACGCCCAGGTCAGCGGCGGCCGGCCGGGCGGGTCCCTGGGTCGCAGTGCGGGTGGGTAGCGCCCCGGGGTGGCCGCCTGCAGCGCCGGCGCGCCCGCCCCGCCCCGCCCCGCCTCGCGCGCCCTCGCCCCGCCCCCGGAAGGAGGAGCGTCGCCCTATTCTCCGCCCCAGTCTCCGGGGCGGGCCGGAGTCTGAGGAAGAGGAAGGAGACTAGGACAACGAGCGACCGGGCGGCGGAGGACTGGGAGGCGGAGGAGGAGGAGGAGGAGGAGGAGGAGGAAGAGGAGGCCGACCAACAAGATGGCCCCTGCTGCAGGAGCAGCCTCGGCAGCAGCAGGTGGGGGACTGGAGGCGGCGCTGGCGGTGGCGGCGACGACGGCCGTGGCCCGGCGGCCTGGGACAGAGTCAGAGTCGATGGTGGCAGCGGCGACGACGGCGGCTGCCGCAGCGGTGGCGACGGCCGCGGAGACTCGGAGCTGAGAGGAGCTGCGGCTCGGACCAGCGCGGTGAGCGAGTGGCGGGCGGACTGCGCGGGCAGCGGGCAGCGGGCAGCGGGCGGCCACGACCGGGGTCGGAACAATAGGCGGCCGCCGCGGGGAAGGAGCCGGCCTCGCCCGCCCGGCCTCCCCGGCCCGGTGTCACTGGCCGGGGTCCTTTAGGCCTCAGGCCCCAGCGCGCGCCCGCCGGGCCTGCCTGGGGACGGAGGCTGAGGGAGGGAGAAGGCCACCCGGTGCCGGCTCCCGGGTCCCTGAGAGGGCCGGCGGCGGAGAGCGCGCAGGAAACGCTGCGGACCCTGCCGGTGGGAGGGGGAGGGCGGAGGCGCCTGTAAACAGGCGCGGCCTCGGCCTCGCGCACCCCGGGCCGCTCCCTCCCCAGCCCCCTTCTGGCCGGGTAGGTTTTGTGATGTCCGTTTCCTTGGAGCTCCGGAAAACCTAGTCTGAGACAGTCTTTTCTCCCTGTATCAGCAAAGGGAAAATTGCGTGTGCAGGTGCCTTAAAAAAAAAAAGTGCAGCAACAACAACGAAACACAAAATGTGGTTCTCTGTCAAGGAAGGGGTGGTGAGGGTTGTGTCGGTGCAGGCGTTTCTAAGCATCAGTTTTCTGTAAACATCAGCGCAGCTCGCGTCCCTGGTGAGAGTGAATTGAGAATAGGGGCTCTTCTGGAGCAGTAATGATACAACTCTTGACGTCCCAGAATAGTCCATGAAACTGGAAACAAAGCCACTTACTGGCAAGGCGGAGACAAATTGTAGTGTTTGAACAGAACTTTTCTTCCAACAACCCGTTTTGAATTATCAGTGTGTACCGCAAGAAACATTAGCTAGCCTGTTACACACTTCTTCAAGAGTGAAAGGTGGTTCATCTCCAGTACAGGACTTGTGACCTGTTCTTGTGTTCTAGTTTTGCCTTTCACTAATCTGTCCTAAAATTATTCAAGACTTACCTTTTCCTGTGAGTTTGAGATATGATTTCTAAACCATATTTTGTAAGATTGCAAAACTTTTACAAAAAGCTGGAAACAACTCTGGTTTTGTTTTGAAAATTGCTTTACACTGTTTAATATTCAGTTCCAGTTTTCTCATGGTAGGGGCTTTAGTTCAAATTCTGAAAGGTTGACCATTCAGAGAGGGGTTAATTTCCTTCGCCCATTTTAAGGGTGAGTTTCTAATTAGAATTGATCTGTGTCTGTCATAATTAAAAGCATTGTCAGGTGATAAGTATAATGAACAACACTAGTCTAATTCCTGTTTCTTCCACAAGGATAGACTACTAATTGAATAAAAATTTATAGAGCATTTGAAATACGGTGATAAACATTAGTACTTTGTGTAGCAGATATTTTGATCTTTTGAATAGTGGAGAACTTTTCTTTTTCACATGGAAATTGATTTTACTTATTTTATGTCAAAATTGTTTAAAGATGTGATTCCTCAATTTAACGTTGTATCTTCAGTATCCATGCTTAGTCTTATAAAACAAGGGCAGGCTGGATGGCTCAGTGGACTAAAGCAACTGCTTAGGCAGAGCACATCGGCCTGGAGTGCCCTTTCAGCCCGCCGCGGGGTGCACTGAGATGGCGATTGAGACTGCATGGTGGTGTGTGCCTGTAATCCCAGCACTTGGGAGGCTGAAAACAGGAGGATCACAAGTCCGATCTATGTAGTAAAACCCTGTAGACCCTTTCCTAAATACAGAAAAAAAAGAAAAAGTTAAAAAAGTTAATACATGTTTAATCCATTTGGAAAGATTTGGAAAAGATAATTTTGGGCAAAAAAGAAATTGCAGTGTTTCATAGCATTTTTTTTTTTTTTTTTTTTTGCGGAACCAGGGATTGAATACAGCATATTTGTTGAGTGAATAGAAACATGTCGTTTAATCCTCTTCATTATGCTTCAGTGTTGATAGTGTTTTCCTTATATGTAGAAAAAAAAACAGGCTAGGAGAAGCTGAGTAAGTACTGTAGCAAAAAGGTCAGAGTATTAATAAATAAAATAGCTTACTCAAACTAGGGCTTATAATACAAATTAGATGCTTTACTGCTGCTGCCATATATGTAACTGTTAAACTTCAAAATATCTTCTGGATTAACAATTTTTTTAATCTGTGAACTATGTTTTCTAATACTGTATTGGCATTAGCTCGAATTTGCTATTATTTTTGCCCTGCCAAATATTCACTTACGTGACCACGAAAGTATTTATTCATGTGAATCAGAAAAGAAACAGTTTTGTTTTTAGCAGAACTGAGCACCATGAAATAAATTCATACCATTTCAATTGGATGGATGTGTGGCATTACTACAGTTGTTCTGTGGCTTCAATTTGTTATGTAAATTAACTGTTCTATCATTTTCGTGGGGGGAGGTATCAGGAATTGAACTCAGGACCTCACACTTGCCAGAGAGATGCTGTGCTGCTCAGCTAAATCCCTGCCCCTCTCCTACTATTTTGATATAAAATATTGTTTTACATTTTTCCATAAAATAAAATGTATTTTTTATATAAATACTGAATTGTACCTTTGAAGTACTTGATGAAAAAAATAACTTTTAAGAACTTTCAATGGTATTAACGTTGGGAAAGATAATGTTTGAAACTTGTTGATCATTTTTTTCTTTAAGCCATAGATCATTTAGAATTCTGCAGTATTTTTCATTTTAGGTACTAAAGTTTGATGGGAAGTACGATGGGGTCTAATCAGTTTTACTTTTACATGTCTTTTGAAATTTGGCAGCATCGGGAATGGGGAGATGGCTCAGTGGACTAAGTGCTTCCCTGGCAAGCGCAAGGGCCTGAGTTCAATTCCCGGTTCTACCAAAAAAGGAAAAAGAAAAAAAGAAATTGGGCAGCATCCCCGGCAGAGTGAAGAGTAAACTGATAAAATGATCCCAGTTTAGTGAACACCTCAGATCAAATGTTCCCTGGCAGGGACTCTTGACCTGGTTTAGGTTTGGCCTTCTCTATGCTTAGAGTCAGGCATTCTTCAGGATTGAACTCACTAGGCTGGCCTATTCTAGACATGGCAAACTACTTAAAGCTTTCAGTGACACAAACATCCTGCTATCGGCATGCATGCCATATATTTACCACCACTAGCCTATACCATAACAGTTATAGATCTCAAAATCAGCCTGTTGCCTACAATCCATTGAAAGATCTCCTGCATAATCTTAAAGTCGAGGCTGGATTTAGGCTATACTCAAAGGTTATAAGAAAAATTTTGTCAGTTATTTGTACAATGAATTTTTCTAAATTCTAGATTTCTTAGGGTATTCTTTACATTTTCATTGTCAAGTGACCCGATCTATAGTGATGTTGCCTTGCGTACTCAAGATAATTAGATGACATTCATTTCTGCTATTGGTCATACTTGTACTTGTTTTCTTCTAATGTAGTATTATTTGCTTTTATATAATAGGTGAGCTTTTTCATGTTTCCCTGATGGATTTAAGTTTGGGGAAATAATTTTCTCCAAGTTTGAATTCATTTTAGATTCAGTTTACAACTGTGGTAAGTTACTTTCAGTCACAGGAGTAAATGTTTTAAGGCTCTCTTGTATTTTTCTTTGAGGTTACTTATACTTGTATGTTAGCAGTATTCTTTTGGTACTTATCAAGCAGTGTTTTCAATTGACATTGTTATATCTCTCACTGATTATAATTGTGCATATATGGTAATAATTTAATTTAATCTCTGAGACTTAATAGCATTTGAACCTGGTAGAAATGTAGGTTTTGTTTGTTTTTTTTTCCAGCGGGGGACCTGATGCTGGAAATCAAATCTAGGGCCTACACACACTTGGCAAATGCTCTTCCACTAAGCTATGTGGTGGCATTGTTTTTCTCTATAAAGAGTTCTGTTTTGTCCAGGGTGCTGGGGGTGGGGGTGGTGCTGGGATAACCCAGGGCCTTCAGCCTGGAGCTGTGTCTCCAGGCCATTTTGGTTTGAGACAGACGTCTTGCTGAGTCATTAAGTTTGTGATCCTCCTGCCATTAAACATGTCAGTGTGAACAGTTCAATAGCATCTAGTATATTTATAGTGTATAACCACGACCTCTATCTAATTTGTTTTTTTTTTTTTTTTTTTTAATTTTATTTGTTTATGTGTGTGTGTGTGTGTGTGTGTGTGGCCAGCTCAGCACACCAGGGGGCGGGCTGGCTGGCATGTGGTGCTGGGGGATTGAACCGTGGTCCCTGGGCTTTGCTAAGCTTGTTCTAAGTAGGTGCTTTAGACCACTGAGCCATCTCACCAGCCCAACCTCTATCTAATTTGAAAAAATTCCCCTCTCTTCTACATTCCTGGCATAGATTTTATTTTTTAACTTTTGGATTTAAGTAATGCTATTTTGAGACAAGATTGAGGAAGAACACTATGTACAACTGAATCGACGGAAAAACCTTTGGGATGTAATTAAGAAGAAAAAAACTCACCTCTTTGCACTGCCTATCTCTGTGCAATGAGCATGCTGCCAGGGCTCTTTGTGAAAGAAAAGTTGAGAGTTGTAGCAGTGTTTAGTTTTAGTTTGGGGGGTTTCGTTTCTGTCTTTTGAGAGAGGGCATTACTGTATAGTTCAGGCTGACTTTTAACTTGGTGTGTAACCCAAGCTGGCCTCAAGCTTGGAGCCATTATCCTGCCTCAACCTCCCAAGTTCTAGGATTATAGTACTGGTTTTAGTTTATTCAGAATTATTCCAATTCTCTGACTTATGTTTTTTAAATACAGTTGTGAGAATTAACTAAAATTGAATTCTATATGAATATGAGCAACTGACTTATCTAGAAATTATGTTTTTTAGTTTTTCTTTAGGTACAGAAGAAATACAAATCAAACCATTGTTATTTTTATTTTTGAGATGGGGTCTTACTATGTAGTCCAGGCTGGACTCACTGTATAGCTCAGGCTGGCCTCATTAGACTCCCAGTGATCCTTCAGCCTCAACCTCTCAAGTGCTGGGATTATAGGTGTGTGTCACCAAGCCTAGTGAAAAGTAATAAAACCAAAGGTC